TAGATGCAGTGGGCTCTGAGACTGACTCTATGGTGGGAAATCAAATTTTTCTAACTCCTGGTAAGTATACTGTAAATTACCTATATACAGAGTTTTCCAGCTCCGGTTGCTCAGTGTGCAGGATATGCAGCAGTATTTTTGACATTTTTCTTTTTTAAAAAAAAAGAATTAAAGGAAAAAAAAAAAAAAAAGAAAGGTAAAAGGAATTTTATAAGTTTTGTTACCTATCTTGTTGGGATACTGAATGTTTGGAAGTGGACGGCTGTTTGCCCGCTAGGTGAACTAACACTACAACCGATAGGACAGGTTTTCCTGTAATACTTTATTATCCCTTGTTTCCTGGCTAGCTGAATTCTTTGCATGTCCAAAATGGAAACCATTGGTCAGAAACAGCATCCTCTCCCCCTCTTGTTTTTAATTTGATCCCACCATAAGACTCTCCAGGTGCCCCAGCTGGAGAACACAGTGTCGTTTTTGTGTTGTGTTTCTTTTTAACACTGTCTCCCCTCCATACTAAAGTACGATATGAAGGCTTCATTTAATCTCCGCAGTTCATCTCATTTCAAATGTGTATGGAAGAAGCACTTCATTGAAAGCAGTGCTGTAAATATTCTGCCTTAGGAATACTTCTGTCTACATGCTTTCTCATCCAAGAATACTTCATCACACCGCACATGCTGCGTCTTAGACGGTGGGTGTTCCATTTTTATCCGCTACTCTTTATTTCATGGAGTCGTATCAACGCTGTGAACGCAAGGCTGTGAGATGGAACCAGAAGGCTGTCTGAACTTTTGAAACCTTGTGTGGGATTGGTGATGGTGCCGAGGCATGAGAGGGCTGGTATGTGCGAGGTACAGGAGAGAGCGCATGCAGAGACCTGGTGGTGCATTGGGGGGTTTTATTTTCCTTGCGAGATGTCTCTCCATCCTGTGGCTTTGGTGAGAGAGTGTGCGGAGAGCAATGATAGCAAATAAAGTACGAGTGTTTCTTGCATTCAAAGGACATCCACATGTGGAAGACTCTTAAGTGGGTTCGATACCTAGTTAATCAACTAGTTGAATGTGTTCTGTGAAATGAATATCTGTATTTTTTTTCCCTTATGTCAACTGCTGTGAATGCTGTATGGTGTGTGGTTTTTTTTCTGTTAATGATCTGTAAGTGTGGTAACGTGACTTGAAGACGATGGGGTTTGTGCTGAGAACATTGAGCTTGTGGTGTGCTTTTGCAGTAGCTCTTGGAGCAGAGGTCACTCGTGTGCCTCTGCAGGGTGGTAGTCCCACTGTCTGTAAGATACCCATAAGAATGCCGTTTGCTGCAGTTTTGTGTTTGGATGCTTTTTATAAGATTTGTCACTGTAGGAAATTCTTAAATAAAACTGGTTTAAGTAATATGTGTCTTTGTTTTGCAGCCCTGAATGCAAAGAATTCATAGCAGTTAATTAATTTTACCCTTTTGCGATGAAGTGCTGTAAAGCTTTGGTGCAGTTATGCAGTTTGTTTCAGATAAGCATGCTCTAAAAGCTGCCAAGGCAAACGGAGCCACCGCTCATCACCTATCGGTACCCGACACCCACCTTTAATCCACTGCATTTTTGCACTGGTCAGTGATACCTATAGATCTAAAATCCAGTTCCCCCACGTTTGGGTGCCCGCACGTAGACTGGTAAGCAGTTCCCTCCACATTGCATCTGTACCAAGGGACGTTACTTGTTCTTTAGGAGTTGAGTTCCTCAGCAGCAGCGGGTTGGGGGAACAAACACTATGAAACTGTTTTTCTGGCCACAGCATCTCCTTGGGGGATGCACGTTTTTAACTGAACTTGTTCTCAGACCAGTTGTCTGCTCAGGGGTCCTGCAACACTTCCAGCCCAGAGGACAGCTGTAAATTCATCTCTAGTCAGGAAAGCCTTTTCAGCCAGAGAATGCGTTAGTAAATGTGCACAGACTTTTACAAAAGTCTTACTCTGAAAAACTAAGTTTATTGCAGGCATAGAAGCATCAAGAGGCAGCTTCTTAACAAAGAGGAGGATGTTTGAACAGTAACTGGTGGAAGATGATTTCCGCTGGCCCTAAGAGCTTTAGGAATTGTTTAATCTACTTGTGCTTGAAACCCCTGGGAGCTCAATCCATAGTGTTTATACATCAAACTACTATGCTGTAGCTGTAAATATTCTGAATATGGATATACACAGCTGTAAACTAGAACTTTTCAAGTTTACCTTCATTACTGCCTGTGAATGGAAGAACATCTAAATAGTGGACAACCTGCGCTAGTGGTAGTTTCCTACTTGCAGTACTGAACAATCAGCTTGGGTCTCTGTGGCCATCTCGGGGGTTAAAGAGGGGTTCTGAACACTCAGGCTGAAGAGTTAATCCCACACTTCTGTTGTTCAGATCCCACTGCAAAAAGTGTCTTAAGTTATTTTTTTCCTGCACCTAAGCCAGAATAATCTGCAAACTCTGTCCCATCTGTGAATTTTGCATTTTAGCACTTGCACTATTACCAGCTACTTCTGCTGAGTAACACTTAAAAATGGTATTCTTGGACCTCCAAAGCCTAAGTGTGACCCCCTGCAAGGAACCTCATGGTAAGTTGTAAGTAGCATGGCTTTCATTTTGTTTCCATTGTCCAGGGGTAGGTTTTGTCAGGCTGCTGGGCAGCACCGAGTAGTCTTTGGTGATAATTTTAGCATTCTTCACCCTCAGCCGAAATCCCTGACAATTTTGGAATCATTTTCAAGTTTTAGTCATGTTTGCTACTTGCTTTGCATCCGCTATAGTGTTTGTAAGTGAGTAAATAAACTGCTGTTGAAAATGTAACGAAGTGTTTGGAGTCTTGTTTGGTGTTTAAAGTTATTTCATCTTCAGCTATATTATTTTAGGAACTGAAATACTAGTGAAATGTGAGATGCAGGCAAGAGGAAGTTTATGCACATGGGAAGGGGATAGATGGCATAGTCACAACAGGGTTTCACAGCATTAGTTCTGAGAATCTGTTGCCAGTGAGCGTGTACACAGGAAACCAGCACATACACCGAATACAAGATCAGGTGTGCCAGTGCTCTCAGAGTACAGGAACTGTTTTTCTCCTGTGATGCTGCTGCTTTTGCTAGTTCCATAAAGCTGTTGAGGGATCAAACACTATTTCCAAGGACACCACTACACTTCCTCCTCTCTTTAAGATTTGTTAATAACCATCAGTGCTTTTAGAATGGCAGAAACTGCAACATCTGCCACCTAAAAAGCACTTAGACAAGAACTGGAATAGTCACAAAGCAAGAAGAAAATGTTTCTCATACCATAACTTGTATGTTTTCAATATAAATACTCACACCTATCATTTAAAATTCACAGATAGCACTGACTTACTGCTGCTTACTGTTGTTACTGCAACTTACTGTTGTCCCAGCAGGCTTCCTTTGACATTCTGTTACCGAAGACTTCACGACATTTTAATTCTCCATGAAGCACAACTAGGAACAAAAGATCAAATTAATTCCACATTAAATGGAATTAATTAAGCACAGAAAATCACCATCAGTTACACATTGGTTTGCTCATTCATAAAGGGAAAACAAAAACTAGGGTTTTATTGACTTAAAACATCTTTAAATGCATTGCTGTGCTGCACTGCTTTCAGGATGGGAAAAGGTAAATCATTCCGATACCATCATCACATGGATCTGAATGTTGCTGGCTGAGAACACGAGGGACAGTGACCCTCTCCGGAACATGGAGGCTAAAGTTGCAGTTGTGGGCACCAGTTCTACCACTTACACCTGCCTTGTCACCAGCAAAGACAGCATCCAGTGCTGGTCAGTGTGTTCCAAGGACAGCAGGGAATACAGCCTTTCCATGTGCACCCAGCTTCCCTGCTGCTTGTGTTGAACACTAACCTTCACGTCAGTCCTCGTGGGTTTATACATACCATAGAATCACAACCTGGTTTGGGTTGGAAGGGACCTTAAAGCTCCTCCAGCTCCAGCCCCTGCCACAGGCAGGGACCCCTTCCACTGGAGCAGCTTGCTCCAAGCCCCTGTGTCCAACCTGGCCTTGAACACTGCCAGGGATGGGGCAGCCACAGCTTCTCTGGGCACCCTGTGCCAGCGCCTCAGCACCCTCACAGGGAAGAGCCTCTGCCTAAGAGCTCAGCTCAGTCTGCCCTCGGGCAGGTTAAAGCCATTCCCCTTGGCCTGTCCCTACATCCCTTGTCCCAAGCCCCTCTCCAGCTTTCCTGCAGCCCCTTCAGGCACTGGAGCTGCTCTCAGGTCTCCCCTTCAGGAGCCTTCTCTTCTCCAGGCTGCCCCAGCCCAGCTCTCTCAGCCTGGCTCCAGAGCAGAGCTGCTCCAGCCCCTGGAGCCTCCTCCGGACTTGCTCCAACAGCTCCAAGTCCCTCTTGTGTTGTTTCCCCAGAGCTGGGCACAGGGCAGCCGGGGGTGTGTGTGTGTGTCACAGTGAATGTGTGCAGCTACCAAATCAGACTGGGTACAAAATAACCCCTGAGATAAGCCTGTGCCTTCTTAAAATACAGTCACCTAACTGTGATCCTCAAATTATGCCATAAGCATACATGGACTGGAATATCTTCCAAAACTGCCTGCTGGGAAGCAGGATATTGCTAAGAAATAAGCCTAAACTGCGGCATTCAGTCAGAGCGACCGAGTATTCCAGTTTTAACTTCCCCGGAGAGATGCAGTAACAAATGAAAGAACATTAAAATTTCTCACTACACTGATCCTGTGAAATCTTTTGTAAAATCATTCCTTTCTTCCGAGATAATTACAAGCAAATCTCTAAGCAGCAGTGCTCAAAGAGCATCAGTAGGGGCAGACACACACACGGGCACACACAGGAACGGGATTCTTCAAAGGAAGGATGACTCTGAGCAAATGCAGTGTTCTGAACACACCTCATAATTACAGTATGTGAACAACACAAACTGCTAATGAGAAAAGGTACCTACGTGGTTAATCCCTGAGGAATTCGGTTCCATGGGGCTGGCAGCTCCATGGGTCGCCTACTTCAAGCAGCACATATCCGATGCCACAGGAGAGAGCGGAGCTGTCACTCAGAAGGTACCGCACTGCACTGGCGCGGTGTGACCATGGGGTGGTGCTTCAGGACTGGGACACGGCAAACCTGCAAGGATCAGAAAACACTATTATTCCCCTTAGGAGCTAATATGTGCCTTACTGCTACAGGCTCCTGAGGGAGAACCCACCCTTTCCTTGTGCTTTCTCTACACCACCTCACTTGCATGGATACAGATCTACATTTACCGAGGGTGAAAGGAAGAACTGCCTGACTGGGATGCTCTTGCACTGAAGGCGAGCAGTGACCTGCATGGGGCCAGGCTCTCTCTCTGGTGCCACAACACATACCTTGTCACTCCCGACACACTGGGAAAACTGTTCCTTAAAGTAAAATCATATGTCTGCACCTGAGCTCAACTGCAGGGTCAGCTGGAATTCCCGATTCCCTTAAAACTTCCCTTCAGAAGTGAGCTACCCAGTAGCTACACTGTTTAACAGGAACAATCCTGAAAACAAAGCAGGAAACCACCTTTTCCAAGCACCACTATTTGGTGGCTATTCAGGCCTTTCCAGAATGAAGTTCTGGGAATAGTCTGGACTTCAGAACTAAGCATAGGTCTCCTTCCCACCTGTCGCCTGTACTTCAGTGTCCATCCAGCGTGTGCTCCTGAGATTACCAGTTAGAAAGGTCCTTGCACTGTTTAAAAGCCCAGGCAGGTTGTTAAGAGTTCCTCACTATGGTCACTCACAGCAGGGCTTTTCTCCAAGCATCCTAACTGCTTTGGAATTCCTGGGAAGCAGCCACTGGGTCCATGTTACAGACAAGGAAACTGAATGCAAAATGACTCCCCTGGCATCACTGATGGGCGCTACAGGCACAAGTTGTGATGAAATTATCAAGTCATCACACACCCATGTGTGCCTGGGTTTGGTTGTGGTGAATTTCCCAGAAGTGGAAAGTGTTGAAAGAAATGGAAAAAACCCAACAAAACTGAAGGGAGGAGGAGAAATAATGAATGAGGAGAAATAGAGGGAGATGAGGCTGTAAATTAACGTGGTGAAACCCAGGCTGAAGATGATGCAGTGAAAGAACTGGGCCTGTCTCACAGAAGCTGTGCTGCAATGCAATAAACCTCACCTTACCTTAAGGACATCACAGGAGCACAACACTCCTGGGTGTGCCTCCACATTAAAGGTCTCCATGAATCCCAGTGTGATCAGAAAGCCACCTTCCACCTGGACACTGTAGCTGCAGGAGCTGAGCAGGGATAATCTGTTGGATAGCTGGGGCTGGTGATTTTCCAATTCTTTCAGTAAAAACCTGACTCTGGCAGTGGGAATGGTGATCAGAACAATGAACTCAGCTCCATTGCGCTGAGTAAAGGTAGTGGGTCTTTTTCTACACTAGTCTACCCTTTCAAGAAGCTTTACAGAGCTATGTATCTACCTACCTATGGAATGAAGCTCCTCTCACACATTTCACCAGGGCACATTTGTTACTGTTGAGAAAACTGCCCTCTCTGTGTCTCCCTCTGTGGTGGTAGGAGCAGGGCAGCAGCGTTATCCAGCACTCCTGCCTCAGGAGTGGTGCAGAGGGCACTGGGGAGGCACCACTTAGCACAGCCCCAGGGCTGGAGGTCAGAAAGAAGCCCGATAGCTGGAAGCTCATCAGGAACACTCCGAGGTGTTCCATTTGCAGCCTGTCTGCTGTATCAGAGTGCAGAGTGGTGGGACAGCTATCAGCTCCTCAAGTCCAGGAGCCTCTGAATGCAGCTCTTTCTTTTTAATGCCTTTGTTGCCAGACATTTAGACTGCAATTGTATTTTCTGAGCAAAACCAGCTGTGCCTCTTGCCGACACAATTGGAGCCACAAATGCTCCCTGCTGAAGAGAAGCAAGAAGGAACAGCCACAAGTGCCCCGAGGATCTCTGCTTGTTGACAGCATCTGATCACTGTGAAGTGGTGCTTTGATCAGCTGGGAACAAAGGCTTTATGATGTGCTGCAAAAGCTGTAGGAGCAATCCTTTAACTGATGAGGAATGCTGCACTGGCTGATAACACCCTTGTAGTTTTGTACCTCTCTAACACTGAATTAATTGTCAGAGGGAAATTGTTTGACTTTGAATTGTAGCCTCAAACGCACCATTACAAACAAAAATGCCATTATCCAGTCATTAATTATAGATTATCACCTAAACCAGACCATACTGTCTCAGGTTGCCATTTCAGTGGGAAGGGACCAAGCTGTGAATGTGACACTCACACTACTGTCCCTTAACTGACCATGGATTTCATTAGCCAAGACTTTTACTCCAGAGAATGAAACTTGCTTCTACCCTATACCTATGCAACAGCCCTGCTTCCTCCTACAGGAAGCATTTGGATACAAGCATGTACTTGGAAAGGAAAGCAGGATGGGGAGGAAGGGGTGAAAGGACAATCTTTGTGTTTCGGGTTTGCGTGGCTCTTAGCACAACACCAGTACCACAACACAACAGTGATGCTCTGTGAGACCAAAGGTTTCTTTTAGCACAGGCTGTAATTTCAGAGCAATCTTTCTGTCCATCTTCCCAGAAAGTTATGAGCAGCTGCTCTTACTGACACAAACCCACCCATCACCACAGTGACTGAGCACCTCCGTGTGTTCCACTCGGAATGCATTCTCTGAGGCTTTTACACACAGCTGACAAACACACAGGGTAAAAGTGTTACTAAAAACACCTAGAAATGCCTATGCTGTTAAAACCCAGCCTCTCCTCATTTTTAAACCCTGTTTGAAATGCGTCTCTTGGTCCAAAGAAGCTTGACTAATTCACCTGGAGCTTCTGGCTGCCTCTGACCAGCATCGCTCTGCACCAGCAGAAATCAGCTGAGCTACAATGGGAAGTAAATCTCCTTCCATGCCACACTTGCAGAGCATTATCAGCAAGTGGATTCTTTCCATAACTGTTATTACCTCATTCTCCGCAGCTACATGCACGTTTCTGTAATTCCACTGATTGTGCCTCAAACTACAGCAGCATTTGATGGCTGTATTAAGAAGGAAGCATATTTTCCAGCACACTCTCCTGAGCTGCTGCAGGTGCTGATTTAATTCCTCCCAGTGACACAGACCTCACTGCCTCTCCCCAGGCTAAGGTCCCACTACAATGCTTCCGTCCATCCGCTAAGGAACACCCCAAACCCATAAAGACATGCAGCTTTAGCAGTGCCATGGAAGTGCAAACCAGCTCCCTCACTTAAAAGCTGAAATTTCCTCATGCTGCTAATATCTGTCCCAGCTCCACAGCCCCTACAGGAGCAGTCTGGAGGCAATTATAGGAAGAGATAGGAAAGCAACCGTGAAATCCTTGGGTGTGAAAAAAAGGCTCAGTGGGAAGCCTTACCCTAAGCATACAGCCCACGATATAATGAGTACTATCTTTACACCCCTAACTCCCTGCTGAAATCATTAGGAAGTCAGAATTTCACATCTTCTGCTAGTTCTGCATCAGAATCCTCTCCCACTACCCACAAAACCATTTTTTCCTGGGCATGGGAGAGAAGGAACACTCAGAGAGGTTAAATGCTCTCTTACAAGAACCTCATAGTTAGAAGGCAGCGACACCTTGGCTTCTATTTACTCTAATGATATTTCTTCCTTAAAGTATGTCTAAAGGACTGGTTTTAGACTAAATCTCAGCATAAAAACATGTGAGAGAAACAGTGGAGAAAAGACCTCTGTGTGCTAACACACACATACATGCACACACACATACATATGCATGCAGAGACAGAAGAACACTGCACATAACCAGTTACTGTGGTTTCTGAAGGCTGTTTGCTTTCTGTAGTAACAAAAGGGCAAAGGGACACAAGATGAAATTAAAGGCTGAAACCCACAAATCGGATACAAAACCAGGATTAAGAAATAGCACGTAACTGATCTGTGCAATGTGCTATCACACAGAATTTAAGGCAAACTTTTATACCCTAGTGCCATAAATCCAGCTTAAGCTAAGCAGCACACAGACAGCAGAGTTGCTATTGCACAGGACTATGCTGCTGTATGGCTATACTTTTAAAATCACTTACTGAACTGTATCATCCACTGAAGCATAAGATGCAGGCCAGCATCAAAGACAGGAGATCGGACTTGAGAGATCTTTAGCCCAGATCCATTCTAACAATGCACATTCCAGAACTGCACAGAGCTGGCATCCCCATAGGCTGCTATTCAAATACGAACAGTGCCCCATTACCACCCCCTCTCATTCCGAAAACTGCCCTTCACATTGTTTTGAAGGACTAAAGGAGACAGAGCCCAACAGTTCCTCATTACATGTTCATTCCTAATTTTGAGGTGAGATTTTCATAACGCAGTTTGAAAGATGTGAGTCATCCCCAATAAACTCTCCTGACTTGTGCTCACACGAGTAGCCAAAACTGACTGACCCGACAGAAGACACTCTGCTAGTCCCAGGGAATTTCCAGCATCAGGATGAAAAGCTTCGACTGGATCTTACTTTTCTCCCAATAACCTGGATGCAGCCACTGGGAGTCCCCTTTGTCAGGGCAGTATTTTTTCCTATACGCCTGCAAGTAAGAAAGTCATAAACCAGCCAGCACAAAAAGGATCAAATGGGGTTTTAACACCTGCCAGCAGAAACGCTGTCCCTTGACTGCTCAGTCCAAGCTTTAGAGCTGCCCAGAGAGTGCTCAGTTATGCTCAGGTCATATTTTCATTAAAGTCTCAGTGAGCTGTTTGCCAGAGGCTTGAACTCTGAAAAATGACCCCCTCCAGCCCCACAAGTCCATTGCCAGTGGCTCAGGTCTCCAGTGCAAGGTGGGTCATAAATTGTACCACCCAGCCATGACAAGATTTCAAGCTGCTTTGATCACAATTCACTGTGACCATGAAGAAGCTCCTGAACAAGATTAAAACCAGCACAAGTAAGCTCTGGTAACTGCCTACATGGCATGCTACCCCAGACCCGTTCTTTACAACCCTCACTAAGCACCTTCCCAGTAAGCCAAGGCAGTGATGTTACCTTTCATGCTGCTAATGTGTGTTCAAAGCAGGTATCAAGGGACTTGCTCAAGGTAAGTCTGCAAATGCAGTGACCTGCAATGTGTCAAGTGTCTCATCTAAAAGACTCCATCTCCATCCCCTTCCATGCTCCCCTGGAAAAGGGCTCCTAGCATTTTTAGGACTAAAGAGGAGATGGGGTTGGAGAAACTGAGCCTCATAAATTCTCACTCAAAGCAACACCTGCTAAACTGCAGAAGTGAGGAAATGCTGCTGGGCTGAGGCACCTTCATCCCTGAAGCTTTTTAAACAAAGCACTGGTTTATCTTCAGCAGTTCACCTACAGTTGCTCAGCTCTGACTTGTTCACCTCTTGTTTCCTCCATGGAGCTGGGGAGCTTTAATCACTGACAGATACAGAGCACAGCATTACTCCAGCATGTTTAAGAAGATAGTCTCTGTCCAAAATGAGTACAGTCTAAAAGGACACCAAATGGGTATTAACGTGGTGCAGTGAGAGGCACTGTGAAGGACTGAGACATATAAATGCCACAAGCAAGTGTGCTGAAGAACATACCTTGTGTTGCACCTATTGTGTGGTGGGCGCTGCTGCCTTGAATGAAGGCAAGACACCTAAGCTCTGGTGACATTCATATTACTTTACCAAATGCCTGGAAGTCCAAGGCTTTGCCCACCAGAACACATTTCAGGTTCCCAATAGGAGATACAGCCAGAGTCATAATATTTGGATCAAAACAAACCTCAAATTCAAACCTCTCCAGAGAATGAATGGGCTCTGAATAGAAATACTTTCAATTTCCAAGTCTGGGCGCACACAACAGCAAATCTAAAAGGAACACGTGTGCAGTCCTGGTCTTGTTACAGTTTAAAAACTATGGAAGGTCAAGCAACAAGAGCTGGACGAGAAATCCAAGAGTTTTCAGGTAGCTGTGATGCTCCAGAGACTTTCACAATGGCTTCTCTCTTATCAGTTTCTACCTTATCTACCTTTGTTTTTTCCCTAGTGACACACGGGAAATGCAAGAAAATGAATGTCCCAGAGGCTGCCATCAGCTTTCAACAAGGAACAGCCTCTTTATTGTCTGCAGGAGGCAGGTCTGAAAGGCAAGGAACCAAGATATACAAGTCACCGAGCATGAGAAGCCTGCAGTCCTTGGGCAGACTGCAACAGGCAGGTCAGGAGGGAGGGTAAACCAGCTCTTCCCAGCACATCTGTCTCCATCTCTGCCTAAGCGAGGAGAAGCTTTAATTATCTCATGCTGGAAAATAAAGGAGAAAGAAAGAGCCTGTCAATATCAGCCTGCTCAGACAGGAGCCCAGCAATCAAAGGGGCAGCTTTTGCCCTCATGAAAGCGATCCACAGAGACCTTTGCTTTGCAGCCCAGCTCAGTGGCTTGTACCTAAAGACCTCTGCAACGCGAAGAGGTTCTGACACATCAGCTGCCCCACAGTAATTCCCAGTGTGTACATCTCCACCCATCAGGATACTGCTGCTAAGCTCCCTCTCCTAGCGTGCAAGGATGGTGCCTAAGTGTGCACACATGAATGGGCAACACAAAGCTCCAGCCTGCTAGTTCACAGCTCTTCGTTTTGCACCTTCACATTAAGACCAGGCACACGCTTTACAGCGGAAGTAAATCCATACACTTCTGCTAAAAGCTACCATTTTAGGAAGGGGAGGTTGAATGAAATAGGTCTGTTCCAATACACTGGAGATATGAGGAGTTTGAATCTTGAATCAGACCCAGGCAACCGTGTCTGAAACAAGGGTGTAATAGTTGGGAAGGTAAATGCCCAGACAGCCTTAAGCACTGGAAATTAGATCTAATTCTGGATTTCAGCACTGGGGAGCTCAAAGAAAGTATCTTCCCATCTATGCCAATATTTAGTGACCAGTATGTGTGCTGGTTCTTTCCAGCCAGGATTCAGCTCAAGGTGGGCAAAGCCACACTCACAAAGGATGAATGTGACACCAGGTGTAGGCCTCATTTCACAGCAAAGTGAATGCTGAAGTGCTGATCACTGCATTGCTCCAGGCATCACTTCAGTGCCTGACCACACATGTGCTTTCCCTGCCTGTGGCCTGAGCAGCAGAGCCAGGCAGCAGTCAGCCAGGCAAACTGCACGCTGTGCACCCTTCCGAACATGAGATCTGTGCCTGGCCTTGCCTCCCATTTACTGGGTGGATCACTGGTGTCAGTGATCTGTGGACTGTGCTGCTTCTTGGCCTGTGTCCTTCTAGGGACAATGAGCAAACTACTTCTCCATTAGACTTCACAACTTGATTGTTAGTTTTTCCAACACATCCACTAACCCAGGTCCAGAATACTCAGTATCTCAGTACTCAGGGAGCAAGATAGACTCAGTTTTGCAAAGCTGGCTGCACTGGCAGCCATAGAGACTGGAAGTGGTGGGAAGCATAGGATAAGTTTCTTGCTTCTGCATTTAATCTGTCTAAAGCTGAACACAGGTGGATGCTGCCTATGAAGCAACCAAAGCCAACTGCCAGGCAACACATTACTGCTGCCCCTAACAGCAGCAATTAGCTCACAGCCACTCTGCAAACCAGGGCCTCTGCTCACAGCCCTGACTAACCCCCTGCACCAGGTGCATATGGAATACCAAAACCAACAACAAAACCCCACAGCTTTCATCTCGATGCATCAGTGGGTCTGAGTCAGGACTGGATGTAAGTGGACGTTGTAGGTAGGGAAGCACCTCTTGATCTAGCAAGAGCTCACCTGTGCACGTCCTCTTGTTCTCATGCAGTGTGTAGCCAATCCGACAGCTGCAATAGTAGCCCCCCACATAGTTGTGACAGTGATGACTGCAGAGGGGCTCACCATCAGACACTCTTTGGCACTCATCAATATCTAATGGGTGAAGCACAGAATTAGGCAAACAGCACCTTTCAACCACACTGTGTCTTGCCCTAAGCCACTGTTCTGTGAGGTTGGCTTGTTTGCCTTTGGTTGCTGTGCCCTTTTGCATCTGCTGCCTTGTCCCACCTCACACCAGCAGCCACATTCTGTGAGAGCCCAGGGAATCACTAACCCCACCATACCCATCTCTTGCACCTGCATTAGGGGCTTGTCTCTTACCTTCAGCAGCATAAAAGGCCTCAAAGCCTGTGAATGGTTTCTCATTGGAGTAATCAGACCGAAACACTACCATGAGGTTGTTGTCAATGGAGTTGTAGGTCTTGTTGCCCGGAGCCTCCTCAGTGTCTGTGCTATCCTTTCCACACAGTGTGGCCAAGGTCCTCCCACCAGAGCTCAGCTGCAAAATGGGTAGACAAATCTACCAGATGAGCACAGAGCTTTGCTCTTCCTAACTTGCTGCCATGGCTTGGAAAGCATGTGTTTAATGGTGTGAGGAAGGAGGCTTGGATGCTCTCTAAAGGTGCTTCTAGAAGTGGGTCCAGATCCAGGGACAGTTAAGAGAAGATTTCCCCTAGGATTTAAGCCCATAATTTTGTCTCCCTTTTCCCTTTCAGAGGCCCACATAAAGCTGTTCTGCAGCCTGGGCTATCAGTACCATGCTTTGTTTATAACCCTGGTGTTAATTTGGCACTCTGAGGGACAATCAGATCCTGTTTTTGCATACTCCTGTGCAACAGCTCCCTCTGCAACATGTTATCATGCCCATGCAAACACCAGAAGAAGGAGAGAGGTAGCATGGCCTTAAGTCAGCACCAGGGCTGCCTGGACTAGAGCACATGCCAGCATACGGAGTACAAACCTTTCAGGGACACCACTGATCACTCCACCACTTCCCAAAGGAAGTATCTTTGCTTCTTTTCCTGAGGTTGTTTCTCACATTAGCTAGCAAACACACCACAGCAAGTGTGGCAAGTGCGCGTTTAGACAAGCTGACAGTATCTTGTTTAGACTATCGCTTCCACTTTTACAGTCTCCCATTATCCTCTGTGTAAAGCACTACTTGTTAATTTAAAACACACACTGTAACTTCAGCAAAATGAAGCTCAAATGTTGTTTTGGGCAAGATTTCAAGTCTTTTGCTTCACGAGAGGAGAACATCAGAATTCTCTGAGCACAAACTACTCAAGTTTCAGACATTTCAACATGACAACCAGTTCTACTTCCTAGTCCCATGGGCCTCAATAAACACATCATTTATACATCAGCTGAGCCTAAACTTTACTAGCTGTCTAGAATCAAGAGCTTACATCAATTATGTTGGTCCTGCATGTGTCCCGAATCACATATACAGTTTTTAACAACTTAGCTGGCTACACACCACCCTGCCCTACGCATACCTTCACATAATCGTATTCACACAGGTAGGACAGCTCCAGGTTGAAATGGGTGAAGTAAACACGGACAGAATATCCCTTGGGAACAGTAATATTCCAGATTCTCTCCTTGTGATTTGGGTAGACATTTGGGAAGTTGGGGGATGTGATCCTCCCATACATCTTCTGCAGCACAACGCTGCTGCTTACTCCACTGTAAAGCACAGCTAGCAAGACAACCAACCTGTGTCAAAGGAACAGAGATGAATAGAGAAAGAGTGAGCATCAACTCACACCATACACCAAAAGCCACACATCCAAGCTGCCAGTCTCAGTACCAATCAGGTATCTTGGTGATAACCAAAATCTTCATGTTCAACACCCTTCTCATTTAATAAGAGAAGAAATCAGGAGGTATCAGTGAAGTGATACTGAAGGAGCTGCTAAACAAGAGGGGAATCACACTCATGCCTTCCAAGGCCTGCACAAAGCCAAGTGGCCAGAGGAGCTGGGGAGGTCCCTGTGACTACACTCACCTCATTATGTTGCTCTCCTGCCTGAGCCTGCTCTGAGCCCCAGGGAAGGAATCTCTCCTGATGTGTTTGCATTTGGGGGCGGATGTATTTATTGTGTGAGTTCTGCTGTGTTTGTCTGGAGGTTGAACTCTGATGTTTATCTCCCACCCCCTTCAGCCTGCTGAGTTCTGGGAACAGCAATCACTAAAAACCAGGCTTGTGCTCAGCACATGAGGCCTCAGCCAGTGACAGGGAGAGGCAGACAGAGATGGAGGGGATGGATTAGGAATGCTGCAGGCTCTTGGACGGAACCATAGTATGGAAGCTCTGAGGGAAGGCAGGGAGTGGGAGGAGGTACAGAGTGGCTCCAGTGTCTTCATGGGGGAGTGAGGAGAGCTGGGCAATGCTCTTTCCCTCTAACCAACTGATCTGCAATCACTGTTAATGCAAACAGTATGCTGCTGGAAGTAGTTTCTTCCCTTGTCAGAGCAGGAACGTGTTGCTAACAAAATAATGGTGCACATGACAGGATTGCAGAATAGGGAGAGTCTGCTCAGATGGGCCTGGGTAACGGGACACTCAGGTGACACAACACTACAGTGTACATGGGCACCAGTTTAAGAGATGCCAAAGTCTTCCCGTCCTCAGCTGCATATTTTAATCCAGTACAAACTTGGCCCTGCTCCATGCCTTGTTTATAGGCAGGGTTTGCTTTTTACCTCACCCATCCTGGAACACCACGAATCCCTATTACCGGGGATTCTCTTATGAAAAGGAAAAAAAAAGGAAAAATGAACTCTGATTTCTTTTAAATATTTGCAGATCCACACAGGGATTTCACACCACTACAAGACCCCAGGGAATTCAACCTGGAGAGCCAATGCTATAGGACATAAAGCTTTATTAATTCAACTCCTTGCAGATGGCTTCTTTCCAAGGCAGCATTTAGGTTTCCCACAAAAACCCTATTCCAGCACATATAGACATAATTCTAAACTTATTTATAGAGGGTGAAAAGACAGATACGTTAATGCCAACGCTAGGTCCCACCTATTCCCTGGGAAAAATGGACAGAGAGCAGGAAAACTGATTTGCAGCAGGGAACAGATGATTGAACTGGACAGGGACTGGCAGGAAATTTATACTGAGATACTCTGTAATTAAATGGACACCTTCTGATACTCAGGTTTGAACAGCCAAAAACCATTACCTCAGGCAATGAAGTTGGTGCTGGCAGGAAAGCAGGAGTTATTACATCAAGAAAACTAAAGCCAACAAACCATTTAGCAGACTGCAAACAGAAAACACTATTTAATAAAAGTGAAGGAGAAACTAGTAGCAGCAATAACTAACTGCATTGCAAGCATGGTTAACAGACAAGAACCCAGAGGGGACTTAGCTCTTCCCATGGCCCACTAGCTGCTAAAATGACCCTATCAACACGTGCAAGATGTGGACTTTACACTGGCTGGAAATAAGGGACGAAAAAGAATATTTTGCAAATAATCTGTGCCTAGCTGAGCTGGTGCCTGATTCCCACAGACATAAGCACTTCCAGAAGCATTCCACATGAGGCTTCCTGCTCTGCTCAGTAGCAGAGGCATGGAGAGTCAATTCTGCTCCTAGGGCTGAAAAGTTTCTCACAACCCCAGAATGTGATGAGGCCCCCGAGGCTGACAGTTGCTGCCCAGCACTGAAATAAGAAAGCTGGCTTAATAAATTGTAATCCTGAGAGGCTGAACGCTGGGTGCACACACTGGCATGGTCTGTGGACAGACCAGACTGCTGTGATTTTAGTCCTCTGCACCTGATGTGAACAACACCAAAAACGTTGTCCCTGTTTCACTGCCCACAAACCTTCTGCCTCCAAAAGGCTCCTGGGCATCAGCTAGCCAGGTGCAGCAGTATCTTGAGCATACAGTGACAGCCAACCTCAGGCCCTACAGATGCTCCTCTTGCCCAGAATTTCCCTTTTGATCCACAGGACTAAGCCAGCCTGAAGGCTGAGTGGACTTCATCCATGTCACTGCAGTTTCCAGTGCTCTGTAACTTGTCGAGTTACTGATCTACTTTAGGAAGCTTGGGTGGCATCTGAAATGGCAGATGCCTCTTGAGAAGTCTGCCCTGCTGTCTTCTTCTCTGTCTGCTCCCATGCTTGAGGGCTGAGCTAGCACAAAGGCAAGCCATCATCTTCAAGAGAAACACCAACACGTGTGAAAGCCAAGGTTTAGAGAAAGGACTTCCCCTTGGGAAAAAAGAAAACATCAATGGAATGAAGGAATATGCAATGACGGAGAGATACTGGAGAGAACTCATACGAGCCCATACTCTCCCTCAGACCCCACACAGGCCCTCAAAACGTACTTTTACTACTCAACACTGATGTCTGTCAAGGACCCCTTTGAAATCCCTCCTGTGCAACAGCAAGTGCAGAGAGCTAAGCCAAGCTCAGCAAGAGCAGAGCTGTTCAGCCAACACGGAGCCCCTCAGGCTGGTACCACTGAGATCCAGAGACGTGATCTCCACTTTCCCTGCAAAACCAGCAGCAGGAACCAACTGACAAAATGAGAAGGCTAGAAACCAGCTGCGCAGTGAAAGCCTCCATGTGTGAGAACCAGGCTAAGTCCTGGGGCAGCTCTACAGCTCACGTTTCCCTCTGACCCCAAGTTTTGAAACTGCAAAAATGTTACCTGAGGTAAATGCTGCTAAAGCTCTGTTCCAACAGAAAGAGTTTCAGCTGTGACAAACTCTGAGATCCTGTAAAAACGAAGTCAAGACAGCCCCACATCCACTTCATCACAGAAGTCCCAGACAGCTCTATTCTCAAACGGACCATGCAAAACCACACACTGCCTCAGAAAATCACCTTGTGCCAGAGAAAATCAGCTCTGGGCCTTTGAAAGGCAGCTCCTGCATTCTGACAGCAGTTCCATGAAAAGCACTGCAATGCTTTTCAATCAGGACCAGATGTCGCAGGTGTAATAAACAGGACAGCAAGCATCTGAACGTGCCTCCAGATCCAAAACACAGGTACGTTGCCAAAGCAAGAGGCTAGTTAATGAGTGGAGGAGAAGCACCTATAGGTCTTCCTGGCTTCAAGATGAGACAGTGCAGTCATGTAAGACAGCAGTGGCTAACCCTGCGTCACAAACCAGGAGAGCAAATAAGCGTTAATAGCTGCTTGCTGTGATCCCTGAAGACACTGCTCCCCACTGCCCCTTATTTCTCAAATGCCAGCTGCCTCTGTAGAGCCCTAAGAGATCGCTTGGATGCTTGCTGTTCCATGGCTAAATCCAATCCTCCTGCATTGAGGGGTTCAGAGGACTGGGGGGGGGGGAGCGAATGCAGCAGAGGAAGACATTCTGTTTCCTCATTACAAATCAAACAGCATGACTGACATCGAAAGACAAGCACACAGACGGAGCAAGCAGAGCATGGAGTGGAGCAGGGAAGAGCTTGGCTGCTGTGAAACAGGGAAAAAATCATCTTGCCAGGGGGAAAATAGCAAGGAGAGAAAGCTCATGCAACGGGGCAAAATGCTTCCTTCAGTGAGGGCATGCTTTATTTCTTCCCATGCTGTCTACTGCTACTTCATTGTTTTATATTCCTCATATTGCTTTGCTCCTCTGGCATGAAGAGACCTCTCAAAAACAAAGTTAACCACCACCTGTTTGGGTCTGGTCTCAGGCTGGGAAACATGAACTCTCCAGGAGCACCACGAAGCTTAGAGTTCAAAGCATGTCTCTGAACACGTGTGCTTGTGCACATGTGTATGTTAGAAACCATGAACACACAGTCTGCACCCTATGTAAGAATACACACTCAAAATGCCGATGTTTAAGCTCCTGTATAACTTCTGTTCAACTACACAGCTGCAGAACCTAACAGCACACCATTTTCATGTATGCTAGCCCATTCCAACCACAGCATGGAGGTATACAGTATGTGTATGCACATGATGACACAAATTCCAGGACAAACCCCTGCACTGCACACACTCACCCCCTTGGGAATAGAATATGACAGCACCCAAGATGCTGGTCACATTACTCTGCTTTCTCCTGGAAAAAACTCCCACTCTGCCATGGGAGGACAGCATAAGGATTGTGTAGGTCAGAGTCTCTTTCCCCTTTGCCTGTCTCCCCAGTGCCATTAGCCTGGCTCTGAAAAATGGAACTAGCTCACACAGCTACCGTCTCACTCCCACCCACATCCTTGGTAGCTGCAGCATGTCTGTTGGGCTGGCTCCAAGCCTGTGACTTCACTGGAGCAGCTGTTTGTGCTGGGAAGAGAATTTGGTTACAATTAAGATGCAGCTAGAGCCAAAGCTGTGAAGTACAGTGCTGTCTTCTCTCCAAGCAAAGATGCTACGCACGTTACAGGCACAGCCAACAGAGTTTCCTTGGGTAAGCCTGCCTCCAAACAGCTAAGAGGAACAAAGGGGGTGGGTGAGTAACACACGTCTAACATGTACCTCTTGTCCAACATGTTTCAAAGCAGGGAAGGCAGACTGGGGGTGACAACAGAGAAAAGCAAGAAAAATACAATAAACCTCTGTATTAGTGGACACAAAGAGCAACCAAGGACTGATCTTGTAACTCCCTATTGTGAATAGAGTGAAGCTGACCAAAGCCTCTCCTGAACACCACAGCCTCATCCAGCAAGCAGCTTGGCCCTGTGAAGTAATCATGAGACTTTTCAGCTCCCAGAACAGCACCCAGGAATGACAGATCACTTAGAGAGAGTAGTTTGGGGTTACACACCTGCCACAATGACTGGAAGGCCTGGAAAGTCACTTGCCAGCTTAGAGAAGGCTACTGGCATGTGCCATTCCCTCCATCGCAGTCTCCAATGACAGGTTCCACTTGAGCAGTAACCTCTCTCCAAAATCATTCTTTGCCAAGAGAGAACTGAAAAACAAACTGTCTCCTGCTAGTTTCCATATAGCCCTCCACTGTTACATCCTTCCTTACACAAAGCTTAAACCATCTCCTATCTGCAGACAGTGACCATCACTAAGTTTGGGATGAAGCCCTGTTTTGCAGAGAAGGGGAACCCAGACTTTTATCTTCCACACCAAAACCACATCAGACAAGTTGCTGTCAGGTGAGTGCA